CCCCCCGCAATCATTTACCAATGGCTTGGTCACCAGTGCATTTGGTCTACAATCTTCCTCTTCATTTCTCCATTTGAAATAGCACTGTTCCTTTCTGCCTCTCTCTTGCCTCCCTTCAACTCCATTCTCTAATATCTTAAGTTTCATGTGAAATAGGGATTATTTTATTTTATTTTTATTTCTACATATGTATACATAATATCAAAGTCCCTGCTTGTAGCAAACAGTATTCAGAAAACATTAATCATCTGAAAAATCAGCCATGAAAACCCTATGTAGTACATTTCTCTTGTGACACCCATGGAGTCTCCATGAGTTGCAATGGTGACAACTGGTTTTTATACACTAACCAGGACACACATGAATTTGTTTGAATAGATGCTATAGTTCTGCTACTGGTCTCAGCTACCATTCCATTTTTGATTGCTGGTGTGTGCTTACCTGTAGCATCTTCACAACGTTACTCTTTCCTATATTGGGAATCTCTTCATGAAGCCATTGTGGTATTAGCCATAGGATTCTTCTTTTAATTCTAAAAATAAAAAATTGGACTGTCTTACTGTAGGATTGATGCAGGTCAACATAAAAGAGATTAGGAAATTGAGGTAGTTAGTTTATTGTGCCAACCTGGCTGATAAACACATGTGGGGTTAATTGAAGGGTAAAGGGATAAATGGCTTGGTAAGTCTAGCCTTTCTAGTTCTCGGGTCTCTTGCTTTCTGATGGTTGAAGCAGGTTGCAGCTGCCTTAGCCAGTTCCCTGCTTCAGCTGGCAAGGCTCACTTTCTGCAAGACATCCTTGAAGAGAAGCCACATGGACCTACCCTTATGCAGCCCTGGGTGCTGGAGCAGCATTGTGGAGACCCTTGCCAGTGCTGAGATGCTTACACGTTCACTGATTCGGCTTTCCTCTTGCAGCCGGCATCATTGAGTGTGTTTTGTGGGATAGAGAAGGACTTTGTGGATTGGTGTTGGACATATGGGTTAATGTAGGACTTGTGGGCTTGGACAGCACTGGGTTGGAATGCTTTCTTGATGTGCACATAACCTTTATATAAAACTCTCTCTTATACATGAGTTTCGTGGATTTGTTTCTCTAAAGTACCCAGACTATCACAAAAATCAACTAAGAATGCTAACAAAAATCGCACTTCCTGTTTCAAGTGCTAACTTAAGTGGGAACTTGACTCCACGTAGTTTCAAAGTGTCTTCTTGACTCTATCATTTTCTTTCAAAAGAGCAAGAATCTCGTGTGAGATTCAAGACAACATCCCTGGTAGTTTGGAAACTGTACACATTTCACCATGGCAAAACATTATAAGCAGGAGATGTCAGTGTGGAAACTGAAAGCAAAAAAAACCCTCAGGGGATATATTTGTTAGAACTATCCAAGGTGACCATAGCACAGAAAAATACTAAAGTTTATAGAGTAAGGCCTTACAATGAGTTCCTCTAATCATTATGTTTTAATAATTTTGAATTGAAGTAGAATGGTAATGAAGACTCTGGAATTTCTTCAGGTGGACGGTGAACAGGCTACAATGGGTCTTCCAGCGGAGTAGCAATGTGAGACTGAGAGCTTTACTTAGACTAGGGTTCCCAAAGTGGGTGGCATCTAGTGCCCTGGAAGGCACTGAAATGATCCAGGGCGGGGTTGACCAAAAGTAGGTATTTTATCCTAGATTATGGGCTTTAGTGAAAAAGTTTTAAATTGCCAGGCAGGTGGCAGGCTGAGTGATTTTTTTTTCAGCAGAGGGGGACCATGTGGTTATTAAAGATCAGTGCAGTAGAGGTGATGGCAAGGGGAATTTCTGAATTTCCCACTTTTTACCTTAAGCTACCTCTTGGCGTTACCATATGTGTTCATCTGGGTACACTAGGGAAACAAATTCACAGAAACGCATATGTATATAAGAGAGAGTTTTATATAAAGGATAAGTGTACATTAAGAAAGCATCCTAACCCAGTGCTGTCTAAGCCCATAGGTCCAACATTAGCCCATGCTGTCTAAGCCCATAAGTCCAACATCTGACACTGATCTACAAAGTCCTCCTTCATCTCACAAAACATGCAATGATGCCAACTGCAGGAATAAAGCAGACTCAGTGAGTGTGTAAACATCTCAGTGCTGGCAGGGGTCTCCACACGGCTGCTCCAGCACCCAGGCCTGTATCAGGGGAGGTCCATGCGGCTTCTCCTCGGGGATGTCTCACAGGAAGTTAGCCTGGCCAGCTGAAGCAGGGAACTGGCTAAGGCAGCTGCACCCTGGTCTGACCATCAGAAAGCAAGAGACCCGAGAACTAGAAAGGCTAGACTTACCACGGCATTTATCCCTCCGCCCTTCAACTAACCCCACATGTGTTTATCGGCCAGGTTGGCACAATAAACCTCAACCATCTTACCATAGCATGGATCAAAAAAAATTGTATTTTCTGTACCAATTGGTTTGGACAAACAGGTTCTATCGGGAATTTAGAAAAGACCAACCTGATAGAAGGGACACTGTGACAGAATGAACCATTAATGACAGGCCAGGTGTATTTCTCTGTTTAAACAGACTTTCTAAGAGCTTCTACTAAGGAACAACAGAAATGGCTGAGCTAGTTTTGTGAACTGAATTAGACCTTGAACTGTAGAGCAAGAATAATTTCTTTACACATATTTATACTTTGTGATTCAGCTTTTCCATCCTTTCTCTATACCTAAAACTAGACCAGATTAGGGAAGTTCACACTTCTGCTAGAAAAGTTTTGAGACAACATGCTGGCATGAAAAGAATATGCGTGTGTGCATTTACCCACACTTGGCTACCTTATATTTGAAATGTTTTGCCCTCCATTTCCAATTATATTTCTGACATAAGACTTTTATAAATAATGTGTAAAAAGCAACCAAACAAACCATCAATCATTGAGTCATTTCAATTCGTAGTGACCCTAGAGGACAGATTAGAACTGTCCGTCTGAGTTTCTGGGGCTTTCAAGTCTTTATGGCAGCAGTTAGCCTCATCTTTCTCCCAGGGAGAAAATGGAGGATTCAAACTACGGATCTTGCAGTTAACAGCTCAATACAAAACCCACTATAGCACCAGGGCTCCTAAATAATGTATAAGTGTATCATGTAAATAATGTATAACACTATCTGCTCATATTTAAAAGTTACCTGGAAAGTATGTATTTCTATGGTCCTTCAAAAACAGAATGCTTCCTTACGTAAACAGAAAGTAATTGTTCTCTTTCCATATTTATCATTCACAATTTTATTTAGAACAGCCACTTAAATATTTCTACTCTATTTTGATTGCAAATTTAAAAGAAAGAAAGAAAAACCCAAGAAGCAAACGATGGCAATAAAATGAAACCGAGTACCATTTTGGTAAAGAATGTTAATATATGTCAAAATTTGCAAATAATTGGATATGCTAGGAGAGTGCCCCACCAAACAATTCTGATTTATTCACAAACTGAAAACCCCACTCTCACTACTATAGCGTCGGTTCTGACTCATAGTAACTGCGTAGGACAGGGTAGAACTGCCTCTGTGGGTTGCTGAGGGTATGACTGGTTATGGGAGTAGAAAGCCTCATCGTTCTCCTGCAGAGTGGCTGGTAGATTTGAACTGCAGACCTTGCAGTTAGTAGTCCATCTCATAGGCCACAATAATACCCGGACTCCTCTGGAAACACCCACATACTTTTGGTAAAATTTAGAAAATCACACTTTTCAACAACTAAATAGAGGTCTTTATTAACATCAGATTGTCAAACCGAATGATGGCAGCCTAGGAAACGGGCAGTGATATCAACACAATTGGTAACGAAATGGCCAAGTCAAGCACTACTCTGCCACACTTCTCTTCACAGGCTTGGCTTATGGTGGGATACAGTGCGATTCCACTGATTGGTTTGGATAGCGTTTGAGGCAGGTTCTGACTTAGCTAAGATCCCTGGTAGTGCTGTGGTGAAAGCACCCAGCTGCCAACCAAGAGGTGGTGGTGGCGGGGGTGGTGGGGTGGGTGTGGGTGTTGAATTCATCAATTGCTGCTCAGGGGGAGAAAGATGAAGCACTCAGCTTCCGTAAAGATGTCTGGCCTTGGAAACCGTGTGGGCCAGTCATGCTCTGTCCTGGAGGATCACAGTTAGTCATCTTGACTGCAAAGGAGTTTGGTTTTAGTGTGATTTACCTACTCTACCGAATCCAGGAGTTTTAGTGTGAGTTAACTACTCTATCAAATCTATTAAGGCACTTGTCTTAAAAGATGAAGCCATCTACTTGGGGTGTCAAATAAGTCTACATGGAAGAAGCACACCAGCTTGTGTGAGCCAAGGAGTGTAAATCATAAAATCCAAATCCAAAGGAGGGAATGGTGTTGGAGCTTAAAATTGTGAACACCCAGTTTTCAGATGGCTATGGATGACCGTGGAAACCCAAAATCCATTTGTGGGGTCCTCAGTGAATCCCTTCTGACAATGGTACAGGGATGTGAATGCCCTTGCACTTGCTATGAGATAGAGAGCATTGTAAAGTTTACTATGGCAGGTGTAGTTAGGTCCAAATGTAGCACTCCATCATGAGAACTACCGTTAGATCCATTTTTAAGCTGTTTCAATTTTTTTCTGTTTTATTTTCGATTGAGTTTTTTCTCTGTTTTGTTTTGTCATTTTGTCTTTGTTGTTGACTTTTTTCCTGTTTCTTGTTTGTGTTGTATATGATTCTCTATATACGAAACCCAGGCTAGTCAAATCTATAGAGAGAGTAATTGCATTCATATTTACCTAGGGACCTGGTAGTATAGGTTGGGGGGAAATGGGGAGCTAACAACGATGAGTACAAGAAAGAAGAAAAGGTTCTGGATTTGACTGTGGTGATGATTGCACAACACTTCTTAACATGATTGAACTAGTAAATTGAACGAGGACATCGATGCTCTTAGGGCTGGATCCCCAGCTTGGTGTTCAGTGGCTTGGGGCTACCTAACTTAGCCTCTCTACGCCTTGTTCAGCTATCTGTAAATCAGACCATGAAGCTTTACCAGCCAGATCAATGTGCAGATTAAATGAATGATGTTTGTTAAAGATTTTGGCATAGATAGGTAGGTACTCGGTGAAATCTTGTTCTTTTAACTTTCCATTCTCTGAATAAAAGTGTTAATGTTTGTGTTTTGGGTTTTTGAAAGTGAAAAACTGAATTGACTTTAAGTTTTGGGGGTACTTGTATACGGTCTAAATCAGAAACATAAGATCTTCAAAACCTACCCAGTTCGGAGAGATTTGTTAAACACACCAATCAAAGCAAGAATGGATAACATAATGCCAAAGCTGACCATTCCTGATAAAAGTCCAGTGTCCTGTTGCTGGTTGTCTGAAAGGAGAGAAAAATCATGTTTAGCTAAAAACAATAGTGCTCCCCACCCCCACTACACACGAGGCCAGATCGCTGTTCTTTCATTGATCTCACAGGAAAAGGAGCAGAGGAGCAAAATGAACATTTACATGGCTCAGGGAAATGACTGCCTTTCTAAGCAGCAAGACCCAACCCCAGGAATAACCTTTTGTTTCAAAAACTGAGCTGCACACGACTGATGTCATTGGGCTTCTGGAAGTGCATCTTGGTAGTTGTGGTCAGCCTTAGACATTTTCCTGAGCTTACACATGCACGTTTTATTGAAGCATATTTGGTTATAAACCTCATTTGGTTTGTCCAACACAGGTGAGAATTCCCAAGAGTCTGTAATTATGCTGAAAGCTAGCCACAATCACAACTAAGGGTTTTTTGCTGTGGGGGTGGGGTGTTTGGGGGTTTTTTTTCTTGAACTTTTTTGTGCTAGACAAACAGAATTTACGTACAACTTGTCACCATTCTTCAAAATGTGTTGCTTATGCATTTTGTTTTTCTTGCTGAGGAAAGCATTCACTCTACTTAGAAGCACATATATGCACTAAAAAGTAAAATTTCTCGTTATTTGCACTCTTTATTTTTAAAACACACCTCCTTGTTTGCATTTTGAAATCAAATGAGCCACCTGTAATAGTTAAATAATTGGTACACCCTACATGTGCTACCTATGAGGCTTCATTACATTGGCTCCGTGCTACATGAAGAGCCCTGGTTTGGGTGTTGACCACAGAACAGGACTGAGACCGGACTTACTAAACAGGAGTGTGTTGTGAGCCACAGTGAGGAATGGCTTCTGGGAAGCTTACTCCCATGTGTCCATTTAGCTAGGCTATGGCTCCTGCTAGTTTGATCTCGTTTCTGTCATAAAACAGTTATATGTGATTAAATCATTGGTCTTGGGCAGAGAGCAAATTACCTTATATGTAATTACTTTCTATGTGTAACCTACCATAATGTAAAGCAGCCAGTTTAGGTCATATCAGAGTCGGGTAGATTCTAAACAGAATCACTCGTGAGGTAGAGCAAGACCAGTAAAGACAATGACATGGGCGCTGGGTGAGGATTGTTCGTATGCAAGGCAACACCAAAGGATCACCAGCAAAGCCTCCAGAACTGGGAGAAAACCCACTTCTGTTCTTTGGAGACACCTACTTCTGATACAGCTGTCATGGCAACACGAGGTAGCTAAGCCTCTCTTCCATCCTTTGTCCTCCCTTCCCTGCTCGTTTCAATAAATGAAAGACTTATTGGATGCTTACAATGTTGAAAGCACTATATTGGCCCTGCCCTAATGATTCTCCAGTTGCATCTAGCACATCCTTGCAGTCACCAGGCTGTCCAATCTCTCTCCTAAAGCCAATGGGGATGGTGGGGAGCAGTACAACTTTAAAACTCTCTTCTGAGTCCCAATGCAATATGGAACTAGTTTTTCCTAAAGTTCATGAGCTATTTATGGTCCCTGGGTGGCACAGTTTATGTCTGACTACTGACCTACAGGTTGGCAGTTCAAACTCAGTGGCACCAGGTAAGAAAGCTCTGGCACCTTCTTCTGTACAGATTGAGGCTCAAATCCTATGGAGCAGTTCTGCTTTGAAACACACAGGGGTCACCATGATCAAAAGCAGTTCGATGGTGATAGGTTTGAATTTAATGAGCTATTGCTGAAGATTTCAAGAAACTCCTGGGGTGCTGGATGGTGGGAAGGAGACGGAGACTCCCCAAGTGAATGTGGTGTTAGCCAAGGAGTAGAGTAGAGTAGCCAAGAGCACAGGTTTGAAACACCTGGCTTCTAATTAGACTCCATCACTTACTTGCTCTACAACCTTGGGCATAACTATGAAATTGCTAAGGTTCAACTTTCCTCTTCTGTAAAATAGAGGTAATAATAGTTATATCATAGGGCTGACATGATTCCATAGTCTCCACAATTCCCACAGAAATATTAAGGTGCACCTTCTGCCTCAACATAGATAATAGCCTATCTGTACTGAACCTAAGCACCTGGCACGTCATTGATTCACACCTATAAATATAAAGTTCCCTGACCTCGCTTTCTGCTTCTTTACAGCTCTTATCACTGACTCTTTTCTTACTTACCACGTAGCCTGCAATTCTCGTCTGTCTAGAACAGTGGTTCTCAACCTTCCTAATGCCACGATCTTTTAATACAGTTCCTCATGTTGTGGTGACCCCCCCCAACCATAAAATTATTTTCGTTGCTACTTCAAAACTGTAATTTTGCTGCTGTTATGAATCAAGAAACCCCTGTGAAAGGGTCTTTTGACACACACCCCTAAAGTGGTTCTGACCCACAGGTTGAGCACCGCTGGTCTAGCATGTAGGCTACATGAAGATAAGGCTTGTTCTGTTCATGACTGGCTGCCCACCACGCAGAACATAGGCACCGAGTGGCTGTCTGATGAGTGTTTATTGACTAAATACACAACAGTCCAAAGGATATTCGTGTAGACTACAAACATCCTTACACAATTCCTGCTAGAAGATAGCCAACGAGTGACCAATGGTTGGAAAATCATATCCAAGTTTTTCAATTAGACATTTCTATTTAGCTCATAGCACAACTTGATCTAATATGTACTTTTTAATGTTTTAAGACCCATAGCCATGCCAACGGATTGAAAAAAGACTGAGTTATAATGACGAGTAGGTGCAAGGTGGTTGATATAATGGAAAGATTAAAGCCTTAAGGATGGGGGCAGGGGGCCAATACCAGGATTTGATCAAGTCTCATCACCTAACAGCTACCTGGCCCTGGACAACGTCCTCAATCTCTCTGAACTGCGTTTCTCACTTATGTAATGGGTCTAGAACACTTATCTCACAAGGTTGTTTTGAACTCTGAAGAAGATGCTGTACAAAGGAGCTTCATAAAGCTCCTGGGAAAATTAAAAGACCATAAAAAATTTCCCCAATTTTTTTGAAGTCTCCTTGGGAGCAAGACAGGGCTTTCTCCTCCTGTAAAGAGTTAGAGTCTTGGAAGCCCACTGGGGCAGTTCTACGCTACACTGTCGGGTCGCTTCGCCTCACATCAACTTGATGGCAGTGAGTTCGGCTGTGGTTTCCATCTTTAAAACCTCCGGCACAGGGGTAGACACAATTAATGTCTTGTTTTTATAAGCGATGCGGTCTTAAGCCCCAGCACCTATTTAAAAAGAAGATGTGCCAAAACTATGGAATAAAACAGCAAAATCCACCAAAACACTCCTTCAATCTTTACACTTTGTCAATTGTCAATTTTTTCTTTTCCTAAAAAAAAAAAAATCATTTTATTGGGGCTCTTACAGCTCTTATAACATTCCATACATTAATTGTATTAAGCATATTTGATTATTTTTTCATACAGAGAGCATATGCAACATCTTACTGCCTAGAAACATATGCTTAATTTGTGACTTGGCAGTGCAGAGTTGTTATAGATTAAATTCCATCTCTCAAAGTGACACTGTGAAGTCCTAAGGCCCGCCCCTGTGAATGTGATCCTGTTAGGGAACTGGCCATTCCTTTTATATTCACGAGACTGACACTAAACCCAGTCCATGCTCAGTGGTTTCTTATAAAAAATGCAACCTATAAAAAATAAATGGAACCAGACATGGGAAGACACCATGGGACAATTTGGCTATACAATTTAAGTAACATTTGGAATGACTGGTTCTTCCCTAGACCCCAGACTCTGATTTGGATCTCTAGCCTCCAAAACAGTGAGAAAATAAAGCCCTGTCTTTTGAAGCCACCCCTTGTGGTATTTCTGTTATGGCAGCCCTAGGTAACTCAGATCTGTTCCCCAGCCTGTTGCCCTAGCGTTGATGCCAACACAGAGAGACCCTGTATGAGACAGCAGAGCAGTCCCAGAGGGCTTCCTGGGCTGTGTTCTTCATGGAAGGCAGCCATGTCTCTTTCTGGCGGAGCAGCTGATCGGTTCAAACCACCACTCTTCTTGCAATTAGGAACTGAGTATACAACATCATCAGGATTCTTTGGTCATTAAGACAGAGGACTAAAATGGAAGGTTAGTATAGACTCAAAAGGCCAAAGTGGTATTTTCTTACCAATGGCGAGGTGTCCTTTAAGGATGGAGGCCATTGGAAGCTCAGAAGTCGGATTCTCCTGTTGGAATGACTGCCGTGTGACCTGGGGAACTTGAAAAAAGAACAAGGTCAGCTTCTGCCGTGTTTGCACACAACATTGCCTGCTTCCCTAAGGGAATTCTTCCACCCATGGAGAAGTGATTAAAGCAAACGTTAGCCCCAATCTTTCATCGATGTGATGCAGAGGATGGAATAATGCAATGGCCTGTGAGTATGTCTTTTCTTCTTCTTTGGTTTACCTGGGTCAATTCCAACGGAGGGAAGACTATGAGGACTATAAAAATGGCCCAAGGCTTGAAAAATGTCGAGAGGTGTCTAGTCATCTCACAAGGCTTCTAGGCAACAAACACTTGCTGTTGTGAGGCATTGCTGACTCAGTTCCCACTCCCAGACGCCCCACATGTCACAGAATAACGCACCGCCCAGTCCTCCCAAAGCATGGGAGCTGTACTGCAGAGCTGCCACCAGAGCTGGTCTCGACTTGATTCCTTCCAATGGGTAAAGAGATGATGCCATCAGCCTTCCTTAAGAGCCTCCGAGATGCACCACTTTTGCCTTTGCACACCCTTTGCCATGTGGCTCACCCTCTCTTGGCTCCACATCAGAAGCCCAGTTTTGATTAGCATACACTTCGGGTTGTGACACGGGGTGAAATGTTATTAATGACTTCCCTCGGCTCCTTTGCTGCGGGCAAGGGGCAGGCCAGCCTCACCCAGTCACTGGCATCCAGGCGTCAGGAAACTGCTCAGGAAAGCTTCCCGCCAGGGCTGGGCGAGCGGCCTCCTCAGCCTGAGCCCCAAAGGATCCTGGGGCTGCCGTGCTCAACTCCTCCCTCCAGATAATTCAAAACTGCCACAGGGGACTCCAGGGACATACTACTCCCAGGGGACAGAATACATTCCTGAAGAGGATTCTCTGCATCCCCGGGAATGCCTCCAAACTATTTATTGTCTGTCTGATTTCAGCAGACAAATTCTACTTTTCTTTGAAAAAACATAAAACTGGGGGACAGGGCAAAATCACTAGTTGAGGTGTCCTTAATTGCCACCCCAGTGTCACAGGCATTTATAATAAGCTACGTGGCCCAGGCAACTCTCTTTGAGGTAAAGATCAGGCAGGCCCAATAAAAAGGTTCTTCTAGGTCTTTGTGGGGGGACTTTTTTTAATTTTAAGATTTGTCTGCTTTCAATTGAAGGGTCATTCCATCCCCACCACTACCCCCTCAAAGAAGAATGAGCAGGAACTGTTAGAAGATGAAGCCATCAGGAAACAGGCAAAAGTTCTTTCCTATGGTTTTACTCTGGCCTCTCTGCAACTCCAGGATAAATGGTTCCCTGTGAACTTGACAACCCAGAGAGCTGCTTGGGCTTCTCAATGCTTTTATTTTTCTAAAACTCATTTTATTGGGGGCTCGTACAGCTCTTACCACAATCCATCCATCCATACATTGTGTCAAGCACATTTGTACAGTTGTTGCCATCATCGTTTTCAAAACAGTTTCTTTCTACTTGAGCCCTTGGGATCCGCTCCTTGTTTTTCCCTCCTCCTCCTTCCCAATGCTTTTCTAAGACCCGATTGCCGCCTGGGTATGTGCTTCCTTCAAACACCGCTGGATCAAGGCCCTGCCCTCCTGGCCAATCACCAGGTTTATTCCTTGAAGTTCATATTTTATAAGCTCTGCTCATTCTTAGGGAGCCCTGTCACGCCTCTTCAGTCACATGACTTTGACACTAACAGTAAAGACATTACCCTTTAATATAACATGATTTTTCAATTTGGCAAAATCCTATTATAGGTTGTGCTGCTGGATTACTCTGATTTTCACTTGCATAGTTTTAAATTAGCTTGTTTGGTTTTTGGGTTTTTTTACATCAAAAGTAATACAGAGTTCTGTTGGCTCTTAGAGCAGCCAGTCCAGAGCCTGGCCCCACTATGAGACATGACACCCCTCACTGACCCATAGCCCTACAGGGGACAACACCAGAGACACAGTGTGGGAATTGCACCCGATCTGATCCCGCCACACCGAGGCAAAGCACTGAGGGAGTGCAGCAGAACAGCAAGGGAATGGAGCAGTGAGGTCCCCCGGGAATGCTAAAGGTGGATTTGGGGGCCAGGGCATGGTGCCCCAACAGACTGGACTGGAAAACACTCCTAAAGGCCAACAAACAATCCTTGAAGTAACTGCAAGCTTTTCTTTCTTGTTGTGTTTTGTTTGTCATTGGTTTGTTGTTGTTATTATTTTGTTGTATGTTGTTGCTTGGTTTTGCTCTGCCTTGTTTTTCTGCATGTTATTATATCCGCAGGTCTGTCTAAATAAGATAGGCTGGATGAGCAATCCGGAGGAGAAAACAACGGGACCAACAGTTCCGGGGAACAAGGGAGAGGGGG